ATAGTTTACTGCCGGCAAAATTAAAAGGTCAGTACATTGTTCAAATATTGGCGTTGAGAAACTATTTAATACTTTTGTATTTTTGTATTGAGATAATAAAATAATTTTCACATTAAGTAGGTATTATTTTACAAGAAAGGCACTTTATTTTAACGATTGTATGACATTTGACAACTGTCAACTAACTTAAAACTAACTTCAGCCCGTGACTAAAGCACCATAAAGCCACAACTTGTCAATATGTATTTAAAAGGTCACTTAGTGTCATGGAAACATCTACGATAAAGGGCCTTTTAAAGGTGGGAGTAGAAAAAATAATTAACAATATAATAACAACAAAGTTTAGATTACAAAAAAAATATTTGATTTTAATAATAAAATAGCTAAAAATTCAAACTAAATAAGAAGGCTTTAGAATAAAGTTTAAGTATTTATATTCATATTTACACGCTTTTAAATAAGTACTTTAAATATTTATTAATTTAACACGGCGCCTGCTGTTTAAACAGTTAAAGTGTTAACATCGGAAATCACGTAAATAATTGACAAGGGTATCGATACTTATTATGCCATGGATCCGACATATGACACCTTTATAATCAGCAAAATATTGACTATGGATGATATCGACGCGTAGGTATTTAACTAACTACTACTAATAGACTATTAGTAATAGTTAGTATAGGCGATTTTTATTTAAAAAAAATAGAAAATAGAAAAACTCCAGCTTTAAATAAGTATTAAACCAGAACATCTGCCACCTTTATTATAAAAATACATTATTTAGCAACAATTACAACATTCTTCAGCCCGTAGGATTAAAGAACCTAATATAGAAAAAAAATAAGCGGTGGTTCTAAAATAAATAGTATATTGTGCGACTAGTGGCAGAAATAGGAGATTCCTCGAGCGTGGAGTTAACAAGCGAGTGGAATCTCCTCTTGTTTAGGTTTAACAAAGATTCTTGATATTTAGGTTAGACGTTAGAAAAGTTTGGACGAAATGACGATTTAAAAAATTTAATTTTGGAAAAATAACGTTTTGTTGTTGAAACAATTTTTTTCCAATATTCAAAATATTTTTCATATTTCTAAACTTAAAATTTTTAAAAAGTGATAGGTACCTATTTTTTTATAAACATTAAAAATAAAAATAACTTGCATCAAATAGAACCTGCCTTACGCGTCGAAAATTCTAATTATTACCGTAAATTGTTTATGGTGTCCACGCGTTAAACCACTCGCTTTGAATGTATAAATAAAGTGCATAGTGTAAATAAACAAGTATAAAATTGTATATAATTTATCGTTGCTTGCGTCTGAGTTATGACTACGAATAATTTACTATTTGCCAGTCTGGTTGTCTCCACGGGTGCCAAAAAAAATTGATTTTAAATTGCACATTCGTCATTGACTTAGCCACTTAGTGCATCAATAATTATTTGGGTTATATTTGCATGTTATTATGCATAAATTGGTTATCGCAATTTTATAAACAATGATTGCAAATGCCATTTTTTTGCGATTTGTGTGGTCTGATTCCTAAAACACATTCTTATCCAACAATAATATATTATATATAATTAAGAATCTTTAACCCGTATTTAACGAGTTTAAAGTTTAAATGTGAAAATATTGATTAAATAACCATTAATACAATTTAAGTTGTGATATGTAGACCGGATCTAGGAAAAATATCTAAATATTGTAAATTAAGGCAAAATTATTTTTACCATGTTTACTTCCATAAAACATATTATGTATAAAATACAATTGTACTTTTATTAATAAATTCCCAAAAAGTCATAAGCTTTAAAAATTAAATATTTTTTTAGATAAGTTAAAAATATTATTATATGACATTTTGTTATAAAAATTAAAACCTTATAGTACAGGTATTATGTATCAAGTTTGATAAGCGCCATTTTTGCCACAAATTTTAATTTGGCAGGTGTTTAATTAAATGTCTAGAAAATTGTACAAAATAGTTACTTACTATACTTTTTCTACGACAAATACTTATCATTATCCAAAAATAATTTAAATTAAATATTTGTATAGAGCGACATATATATATAAAAAAATAGAGTTACAACAATTTTGAACTGTATTACCGGCGCGCCAGTTAAAATTTCAAATTTGTATGTGTAAATCGAAATTTATTCCTTAAAAATAGAGTAACAACCGTTTAAATGATGATATAGAAGCAGTTTTTCAGAGTTGACTCAATTAACTTAAAACTAACTTTAGCCTGTGACTAAAAACCTGTTGCTAACTTTAGCCCGTGACTAAAACGCCATACAGCCAAAACTTGTCATTGTCAATCTTATTATTATTATTTCTTTTCGTCGTAGATAAAGTACAGTATGCAATTTTTTTATGAACTCCCCAGACACTCGTTTTTATTAAACACTCGATCGCAAGCTTCGCTCGTGGCTAATAAAACTCGTAACTAAAATGGCGTTTATAAATCTTTATACATAATGTACTATTATTAGGTTTCATTAGAAACATCAAATGTGTAGGTAACTGTTTTCTGCAATATTATATATGTATTTATTTTTAAATGACGATAAAGAAAAGTTCTATAAGTGATAAAACTAAATTAAATTGTTTTTATGAGGAATCTTTTAGTATTTAGCTCGCCAATGTAGGAGTAGATAAAAAATATAATAATATATATTAATATAAAGGTTTTTTAAACAAAATGGGTTTTATTTAATTTAATTTTGTTTTTTCTGCATTGTTGTATTTTATTCTATTTTATGATATTATATTGTTTATATTTTATTTCAATGTGTAAAAACAAGTTGTGTATTTTAACATAAATAAATAATTATTATTATTTTAATTTAATTTTAATTTCTTTACAACTTTTATTCCATATTAATTAAGTACAATTTTTCTGCCTTTTTCGTATTTAAAAAAATGGCTGTCTTTGGGAAAAAATAACCATATTAATTTTTTTGCTTAAGCTTAACTTTGCGGGATCCTATCGGCTGAGGATTTAGGTGAAAACTCAATTTTTTTTGTCTCTACAATTTATGTCATTCTGTAGCCTAAATTTTTTTATCTCGAATTATATTCGATAAAACTATTTCACGACAGAAAAAAGGTATCATCTTTGCAGTGCTGTTTCATAGGGATTTAACAGAAGATTCGTTATAGTCTTCGACATTGCCTTTTTTCATGTTATACGGGTAATCTTCAAGTATTTTTACCAATTGGATCATGGGAGTACATTTCTAAAGCTGGTAATTCCGTAGGTACCTTAAAAGAACTGCTCCCAAATGGAGTTATTCGACTTCTGCGTGCTAAGCAGAATATTTTCTAATATCGCCTTTTTAATATCAAAGGTACTTTGGCAACCAAATTTCGCGTTTTTATTAAAAATATTCATTTTAACTTTTTGAATATATATGTAAATATAAGTATACTTATGTTATAACATTTCTAGAACTGTATTAAGATCGAACAAACCCCAGAGATGTATGCGACCAAAATGGTATTTAGTAGAAAAATAAGTTAATATGAATTTTGATGGTTTGTTTAAGATAAACAATTTTCTCAAATAAAAAAAACTAAAAATTGAGTAATTTTGCGGCACCTACTTGAATTTTTAATCCTCGAGGATTGACCCAATTTTATAATTTTATAATATGTATTTCTAAAACAAACAAAAATATTTTTCACCTTAATCCGCAGTGGGTAAGATCCCAGAAAGTTGGGGTTAAGCTTTTTTTATTAGCCCAAAAATATTTATGCAAAACAATACTATAGAAAAAATTAACCATATATGGTTAATTTTTTCCGAAAATGTTTACAGATTGACTATTGACAAATTTTTTGATGCAATGTTTTTTGTTTTGGCTAAAATGGAACTTTACTTTGCGTTAATGAAAAATGTGTGATTTTTATATGCATAAAATTCAGTTCCCTAATAAAAGGTTCAAACTTTTGATTGTGGCCATAATAATCTTTAAATTTTAATAAATTTTATACTTACTGTATTATTTCTTTTTATTTTAGTTTATCGTAACTACTTCTTTTGATTGTTCTTATTAGAGTTATGTAATCTGCTTTAAACTATTAAATATTAATATATAATGTAATTAAAATTATTGTCTAAATGACAACAATTATGTAAGTGCAAATATAATTTATATCTTTGATAAAAATAAAAAAATCGGTAGATTGTATCTTGAAAATTTCATTAAATTGTAGAATTATTTAAATTTAGAACGTAATAAGGATTTAGTAAATTAAAAAAAAAACAATTTAAACGTCGCGCCTATATTTAAGATGTTTTTTTTTTTAAAGCAAACACATATATTATTTGAATTCTTTATATTTATATTTATTATTTATACACTTTTCACTTATAATTTACGTATTTTAAAGTCGTATACATAATATTAAAAATTAATTCGAATATAAAAAAAATAACAAAACAAACTTTACAAAGAAATATTTAACACAGACATTTTATACAGACTTATATTATTTATTTATATAGGTACAATGCTTGCATCGTAAACGCAATATTTATAATATAACAACACAAAAAATAACGATATATCTAAAGTACAGTCTAAGTACAATTATTTCGCAAACTTCATACAATTTCCCACAATTATTTAAATTAATTATTATTACAATATAAATAAGGTCCTTACATCGATCGGACCACAAGAAAATGTATACATTTACAAAACAAATTATGAGTTATATAAAAATATACTCCTTTTAGTGAACAAATGCATTTGTAGTTAATTTATTTTGTACATTATTAAAACGGTTTGGTACAAACAATTTCGTGTAAAATTCCTCTGGAGGTTTTCTTGTGGTCCAAAGTGTACGTGGTGTTTGGATTGAATATTTTTGGAAGATTTAGTGTTGAAATTGAATGAAATTTACGTAAATCTCATTAGAGGCGGTGAAAAGACTCACCTTTAACTAATAAAGATTTTGTTGCTCCTCCAAAAATATCCAATTATCCAACTAATTTTGGTCGACCGCTGAAACGGCAGCTGCCGCCGCGGCCGCCTTTTGCGCTTGCGCCTGCTTTTCCTGCTCGTTGAGCTCTTTGATCGCCTGGATCTCTTTTTTCAGTTTCATCCTGCGATTTTGGAACCAGATTTTTATCTGTCGCTCCGTCAAACACAGCGCGTGCGCCATCTCGATCCGTCTCCGCCGGGTCAAGTAATGGTTCGTGTGGAACTCTTTTTCCAACTCCAACGTCTGGTACCTGGTGTAAGTTTGACGGCCACGCCTCCTAAGGCCATTGGCACCTGAAATAAACAACAGACTTTAGACACAAAGTTTCAAACATATTTTTGCAACTGATGCAATCTCATAACAATCCACGAAACGAAAGGAGCGAGTGTGGTACTGATGGGAGATGTAAAGACCACCTTCAATTCGTGTTTGAGCGTTTGGTAAATGATTTAATGGTCGGTTATTTACAATGACTTATCGCGGTGCAATATTATTACCGAATTAATTGATATCTGATAAATAATAACAGTGCAGCGGGTTGTAAACAAGCCAGACCACCCCGCACACGGGATACTGAAAATCCATTTAGTCGATCGAATCGGATCTTAATTATTATTTTCATACGTGTTACGAAACACCTTCTTTATCTCGAAACGACAAGCCACAAACTATAAGGGTATAATTTAGACGAGTACGAAGCGCAAAAAGCCACAGCAAAACGACCAACTAAAACGACGCAAGATTTAAACGCTGCAATCCACCTATTAAATAACACCATATTGAAAAAGGTTGTTTTTTTTCAATAACATTTTTTATAAGGTTAAAAAAGTTCCATCAAAAGCGTTAAATATGCACCAAGATAGCTATCCCATTGAATTTAATAATATTATTACATTTGATCCAATTAATAATGATAATTACTAGTTTATTGCGGTTATAATAATTGCAAAGTGATACAATAAAAACCATTAATTAAACTGATAATTAATATATGCTTTTAAACGTTTATCATAAATGAAATATTATACCTTTAAAATGTTGCTGGCAATCTTATATCACTAACACTTCACAACACAACCGTCGCGTTTAAAAATGTAATTTCCAAAAAAGCAAAAAAAAAAAACTATAGAAGAGGTGTTAACGGTAAGCGCGACATCCAGACTGACCTGACGAGAAAATCTCTGCATGGCTGTGAAATATCCCAAGGAAGAGCCCTAACGTCTGATTGGTGTAAAAGTCCGGCGTCCCGCTGATAAGTCCGAGATAAATTTTTAAGGAAGGTTCGACATGATTTAAACGAGCTAAGCTCAGGTAAGAGCTGTTTGATATATGGGACGAAGGCTTTGTGTGCATGACAACGCTAAAAAATGCCATAAAAAAGAAAGTTTTGAAGGGTTTTTTTTCTTTAAGACACAAAATGCTGTTATCTTGTACATCTGGTTTACATTTGGAAACAATTCTAAATATTTTTGATAATGTAACTAAAGCTATACTCGTATTCAATGCTTTTGCACATCTTAATTAACTATTTTTAGGTTTTAATGACAATATTAAATACAAGCTTAAAATTAAATTAAAAATTGGTATAATTTATTATTTTATTATCTTAGTTGTCTTAAAAGTGTGTAAAATATTAAAAAACGGCTTGCATTTTGGAAAACTTAGATGAGCAAATTAATTTTTAATGCGATTTTAATGGTGTTGGTGGGAAAAGGAGAGAAAGCGGACCGCACCTGGGTAGTGGATATTGGAGGGCGGTCCGGAGGCACCCAAGGACGGCTGATAATTCAGCGGATAGCAAAATAAGTTAAAAAGTTGCCGGCATATACAAACGTTGATTAATCGCTGCAACTTTTGTTATTTATGCCCGTATTTATCCGGGATTAAGTTTAGAAATTAACGAGGATATCTTTCAGTTCCAGCAAATAAAAACTGTTTATGTTAAAAGATTTTGTTTAACTAGATTAAACTTTTGATGGTGTACGTATAATGAGATAAAGTGACTTAACAGGTGGTTGCTAATTAACGTAGCCTTGTCGTGGTGGACAACGTAGGCCATTTTTCTCGATCAAAAGGTGTTTTTTGTTGTTTGTTACACATTTTATAGTTGGGAGTGGTAATAATTTATCTCGGAGTGAGTCTTGCATAGAATTCACCTTCGATAATTGCGTGTGCGCCCGCGAGTCGATTGAGATATTCCCCCCGTTTCACGAGAGCTACTTGTGTAAGGTTTATTGATGCGCCGAGCGCATATTTCCGAAATAGCATGAGTTAGAGCATTAAAAGTCGCTTAGTAATCTTCGTGCATCGAGATATGTAAAGCGAAAACATGCGGCGAAGGTAATGAAGACCATATCGACGTTGGCTTGATTCTCCATCAATTTCTATCTGCTCGCCCTGCCTGTCTCAATCCAGATACCATCGGCAAACATCATCCAAACAGGCGTAGATGGATAGATCCACGCTCATCATGCTCATTCCTCTCATTCTATGCTCCATTTTATAGATACACATTTAGATCACTTTCAAATTAGCATTATCAATATAACGCCTCTATAAAAATCAAGTAACAATGTCCATTCATCAATACTGGTCGGCAGACAATAGCGCTGGATTATAGCAACCATAACGCCCAATTTATTGCAATGCGGAAAGGTCAATTTAAATTTAGAAGTGGTGGACGAATAAATTTATGGGATCCATAGTGGTGCACACGATTGATAGCCCATTGTGAAACCAGTAAATTTGGATTGTGTTAAAAAATTGAAAACTAGCTTCTGGTAAAATAAAATGTCTTCTCGCGTTGAATTTAATTTAAAAGAAGAGTAGTTTCAAGAAAATTGCATTAAGACAAAGCGTCCTAATAACATTAGAATTCCGGAAAGTTTCAGACTACACCACAGATGCGTGTGACAAATTGAGGCAATCCATTTTCCGTTTCTGCTACGCGACCCTGCATTCAAATATTTTTTAAGAGTAATTCGTCTTCTGATAATGAGTGGGGGGTTTTTTTCTGTTCTCATCCAATTACGTAAAACGTCAGCCACTTTCTTCTTGTGGTGTCTCTTTGTCTGGAATAACTCACTTTCGGGACATTTCTCCGCGTTTAATTTCATAAGTAAACTGGAAAGTCAATCTTCTGCGTCATTGTTTTTGTTCATATCCCGTCCGAAGTTACTTGGTCCCCGGAGGGCCAGGAAACTTTTTGTCCGGGGAAAACTTACACAATCTCGATATTCCGGAACTTATTTAGCCTCATCTGTTTATTCGCTTATTCGGCAAATGTCGTCCATTTTTCTTCCTTGTGGCGGGCCGCGTTCGCGATTTATTGAGCTCCTTTAATTAGGCTGCTGCTGCACTCTTTTATACTCGTGGGGGCGGCCCGAACAGACGCAAAAATACGGTGACAAATCACTCTGGACGGGCGACGGATAACTCTACCCTTCTCCTTATTCGCCATGCAACGCAATATTACTTCTACGACGTGCTCAACTTATTTACGAGACGGTATTTTTAGGGTGCGATCATCCCGTAAAATTGGATAAAAACGCCCCCGCTATAAGAACGGAAGAAGCTCTCTTGTATGTTTACGGAAAATGTGCTTCAAATAAAACTGTATAGGATTCATTTTGAAGTGGCTAGTTAAGCAGTTCCATTAAAAACATAAATTTAATTTAAACATGAAAAAAGCGTTCATCTGTAATTGGTACTAAATAATAAAAACGAAGAAAATTTTAAGAAACCTAAATAACATATTTTTCTAGATAGCTAGACATTATAACGAAAAACTCGGTAGTAATTCTATTGAGTCTGGTGGTTGGGAAGAGCAAAAATTACGAGCAGACTGCAATTAAAGAAAAATAAAGTTAATTTCAGTTGGGGGAAGCACAACGAACTCTTTAATCATTTTAATGCCCTTCTTTAACTAATTGCAGCGACGCGTAAAATAATGAACAGAGCTTATAATTGTAAGTCCCGCGATTTATATGCGTCGTCTTGTTTATTTTTCCAACTTTCCCCATGTCGCCTATATCAAGATTAGGAAAGTTTTTTATTTTTTATCTCACCATTGAGGTTTTTCCAATTAAAAAAAAGACCCTTGGTCCTTTGGGACGTGCCTAAGAAGCAATATAAATGCATTATGGCGACCCACTCACAACTTGACAATATACCCTTAATAAAAGTTATTGCTTTTATCTGTCAAAACTTTTATTTCACTTCTACTAAAAAACCACTTTAATTTATTAAAAACTCAATTGTTTACGTATATTGCAACTTTCCCAAGCTATTAGTTGTTTGTTAGATATTTTCCCAGTGTTTAATGTTAAAATTGGTATCCTTAATTAAACTTAGGTCTGTTTGAATTAAAAAAATAATTATATAGGTTTAATGCGGAAAATTGCACGTTACTCGCACAATCTTGGTAATTAATTTTATGATTTCATGAAAGCCATTCATTTATGCTATTTCTAGAAAACGATGCACTTTGTTTGATTCATTGCTTTGTGGTTAAATGTTTTATTTATGAGGTTTTTACAGTTGTTTGAATAAATAATTTAGAATTTAAAAAAAGCGCATTTGGCGCTAATAGAACAATAATTTGTATAAAATGATACAATTTAGTAATTCGTAGTCGAAATAAATAGGTCGAAAGTCATAAACACAGCTAGTATTTAATTTGGGCAAAACAAAGCGTCCAATATCGCGTGGTTTTTTTATTTCTTGGCGGGCAGTAAGTTAGCGCTGGCGTTTTAATGGAGTTTGCGTAATAAATTCGGGCAATGAAGCATACCGGCCGAAATAATTTCAATTAATGTAACAATAAATACAAGACGTATTTATTCGGCTAGTGCAACTACATAACGTACGGGCAGTGTCCCGACCGGCAGTCACATCGATAGCGTAATTGCGTTTAGATCACGAACTGTGTGCGGCTCAGTCCTGTCCGTTAACTTTACTGCCGCCCCCATACGTCCTGCCAATTTCTAGCCTAACTTAGTTTGCCAAGTGGACGCACTGCAAACAGAATTATCTTCCAATTATCTAAACCAGAACTACAAGCCCAATTTCCTTTTATTTCCATTACAATCACCACAAACACCATCAAACACAATTTTAGCAAAATTTTCCATTTATTTTATTTTACTTATAATTTTAACATGAAACTAGATACATAGTTTTACTCCCTTTTAGTAAAACTCAAGAAATTCAACATGTCAGATGACAAATCAACTTCTGAGTCCTCTATAGAGGACCCATTTTAAGATATTCTTTTATGAAAATTTACCTTAATTTATCGTTTTTTCCTTAATGAGTTTAATCTACTCCCCCATTAATAAGCTGTGACTTTATGGAGGCTGAAGTTAGCAATTGTGGTTCTAGGCATTTTATTTAGGGGCTGAAGTTAGCTTTATTATAAATTGGGAAAAAGTGTGGTTAAATCCGTTAACAGTTAACAGATGTCAAATTTTTAACAAATAAAATTGGTTTTAAATTTTTCTTCTCGTACAGTACAGTATGAAACTAGTTTTTATTAAACACTCACTCGCAAGCTTAGCTTGTGCCTAATAAAACACGTAAATAAAATCATACATAATATACTAAAAAAACGCGCATTATCGTATACTAAGTGATCTTTTAAATACACATTGCCAGCAGTGGCTGCGGGTTGTCACGGGCTAAAATTAGCTTTAGTTAGTAATTATTGTCAAATATCATACAATCGTCAAAATAAAGTGCCCTTCTTGTAAAATAATACTAAAATGTGGAAATTTTTTTTTACGACCAAGTCACATTTCGTAATGGCATGGTTGCTTAGAAAATGAATCTTTTCATTGGCAAGGCAAAACCCGAATGTAAAGTGACATTTCTGTGTGAAAAGTGACAGGTCTGTGTAAAAAGAAATTGACAGCATCGTTTGACATTCGTTTCAAAATTTGTATTGTATTTGTATATTTATGTCTAAATATCATTTGGAACACAAGTAATTGTGTTTGTATAATAAATTCTAATATTTAGTGTTTGTAAACTTTTCTAGACACTTATTTTTTATTTTATTTTTTTATAACACTGGCTCGCATGCTTTGCCTAATTAAAACTCGAGTCTAATATGGCGTTGGTCCTTATATTTTAAATTACCAATATAAATCAAAATAAAGTGCCCTTCTTGTAAAATAATACTAAAATGTGGACATTTTTTTTACGACCAAGTCACATTTCGTAATGGCATCGTTGCTTAGAAAATTAATGTTTTCATTGGCAAGGCAAAACAGGAATTTAAAGTGACATTTCTGTGTGAAAAGTGACAGGTCTGTGTGAAAAGAAATTGACAGCATCGTTTGACATTCGTTTCA